TTTACATCTGCAGGCCAGTAATTTTGGCCTGGGGAAAGAAGATACAAAACCACACTGAAACCTTTCACAAGCACTTTCACAAGCTATGAGCACTTGGGCTTGCGTCCCAAAGACCAGTCTGCTAGAGCTTGGAATCTACATCCCAAAAGATCAGGCCTGGCTAGATCTGCATATCTAAGAACTGCTAGGATTCTGTGAGAAAAGGGACCTGCCTCTTACAAATTTTTCATAAAAGTTAGCTGAGGCTTGTAAGATAAGTTCTTGCTTTCTCTAAACTCTTGTTTCACTTTAGTTTTAGGTTCTAGTTCCATAGCTCTTCTAGATAGTACAAGATTCTTAAGTTCAAAAAGGATTTCAACTGTTAATAACCATTAATGTTCTTCCAATAAGAAATTTTGATTGAGAATTCTGCTTTCTCTGTAGGTAACTTTCTGATAAGAAATCTTCGTTTAAACCTTGTCTAGCAAGTTCCAGAAACAACTACACTTCTTAAATCCCTAGGTTGCATATCACTCACTGACTTCTCTAGAATTAGTACTTCTGAGTTCAACCTGGTTCCAGCACTCGAGTGTTCCACACAGACACACAGACAGACAGACACAGTCAGACAGACGGACACAGACAGTGAACTGACGAAAACACCACACGTACATGTGCACATATCTGCAGTTGACCGATCTGACCCTTCAAAAATGGCAGGGAGAAAACTGATGGACTGAGAAAGGAAGAAGCAGTCCCCAGGGCAAAGAAGCCCTGTCGGCCGATTGGGAACAGTGCTCCCCGTTTCCCAGCCTGACCAGTCAGTCGCCTGTTTGTTCAGAATGGGTCAAGAAAGAGCTTTTTGTTGATATAAGCCGGCAAAATAAACTATGACAAAGATGTTAAAACCTAAGGTGGTCAGATGTTAGATGTTACCATATTTTGGTCAAGGCTAGTTCTGAGGCAGGGAGCTAGTATCATAATCTTGCATTTTCCTGCCTCTTCTGCTTTGATAATCCTATTTCTTTTGTTACCTGCAAAGATCTGACTGCAGAATGATCTGGTAATGCAAACTGCCATTCACTGTATATCCTTCCCAATATTCTAACTTATACTCAGGCCACGTGGTGTTACAGAGGTCAACAAGATATTCCTTATTTAAACTACCTACTTGGAAGCTCTTTCAGTGTTTTAAGGAGCAACCCATAGGAGAATGTTTAGGTACTGATGTAGAATTTCCCATATTCCCTAATTGCAAGCAATAATCTATGAAAAAGATGGTTCCTTGGCAAAACTTTTCTTCAGGTCTATCCAAGGGGACTCGAACCCCTTTACTCTGGCTTCTCCCGAGGGGACTCTAACCCCCTGTAAATTGGCCTTCACTTTGGCTTCTCCCAAGGGGACTCTAACCCCCTGTATACCCTGGTCTCTGCCGAGGGGACTCAAACCCCCCACTAAATTGGCCTTTTGTCAGAGGCTCACTGGATTTGGACCGTCTCCACCAATGGCCTCTGCTTCCACCACAGGCGTCCCTGGGCGGACCTGGCATCGGGCAGACCCACAGCTGTGTGCCCGAGCCTAACCTAGTGCTGTGGTCTTAAACTCTCTCCTTGAAAAAGTTCTGCCTTCTCTCAGCTTGCTACATCTTCCCTGCTTTTGCTGGCTCGCTGCTTTTCTCAGGCTTCTTTACCTGCCTTTTACCCTTTTTTTTTCTTTCTGTCTTACCTCTGGACTGCCTTCATTCATTAGCATTTCAAATGACCTCTAGCTGATTTTCTAGTTAGGCTGGGGAAAAGGATTTTCTAGTTAGACTGGGGAGATTTTCTGTCTGGAAATTGATCTGCTTTAGTTTCCCAGAATCTTCACACTATTGGGCTTTCCTCCCATTCCTCCCATAGTGGACGATGACCCAAGACAAACGAAGGAGGGGTGCCTCTTTGCAGAGACCATCAGGGTGCTCATGCACACACACATTCACACAGAGGTTATCACATTCCTCCCCCTTCCCCCTAGAGATTTCCAAGGGAGCATACCTCCACAGCAGATTTTCCACAGATTACCTCATTCCTCGTGGATTTCTTCACTGCATCTGTCCCTTCGTGGTCGCCATCTGATGTCGGTGGGCCCCACGGGTGACTTATGTGAAGTGGGGAGGAGAAAGACAGCCACTTTCTCCCCACCCGCCTCTGCCACCCGGAACCCTGGGTAGGCTAGGACCGGTAAAGTCTGCAGTGAGCACCTGCTCGGCACGGGCCTGAGCCCCGCCAGCCCCACAAGGTGGCTGTCAAGCCACACCTGAAGTCCGCTTGATCTTCTCGGCACGGGAGTTAATCCCCGCCACCCGATTGCTCGGGGAGCCACGGACTCAAGCTGGGGCGAGAATTTGCTCTTTGCAGGAAAGGAGAGACCAGTCCCAAGCCTTACCCGAGGTCTCTGGGGTTCTTGTCTCGCTCGCAGAAAAGAATTTCAGGAGTAGACAAGCAGTGAAGTAAATAGATTTTATTTGGAGGATTTTTAGGTATGGAGGGAGGGAGAGAGAGTGAGAGAGTAAAGTTAGACACAAAAGCATGAAAGTACACATCTCAAGAGGGGAGATGCGGGCGACACATGTGCTCGGGAACCACATGTGCTCGGCCACGTGGGCGCAAGCAGCACATGGGCTCGGGCAGCAAATGCGCGTGCTTCCTTTGTTCAAGGTGGCCTTTATAGGGTTCCTCCAACCTGCCCCCACGTGGGGCTTCTTCCCAGGTAAATGTCCCGTTGCTAAGGAGGTTGCCAGGGAGGATGGGAGTGGTGATGGTCTTCTTTGAAATTCCTTTCCTGGCCTTTTGTTCCTAGAGGAGCTTCTTTGGGTCTGTTGCTGGAGCCAGGTGAGGGTTTTATCAAGCCTTAGTTCCTGTTTTCCTATTTTCTGCAGGGCTGGCTCTTATCATTGCCTCGGGAGGGGGCCCTCCCTGTCTACCTGCCTACATCAGGGGGACCCGCTTGCTCTGAGCTCAGTGCTCAATCCCAGAGTCAACTCCGAGTTCCGTTGCTGTCTCTTCCGACCCAGGGTCTTGCTGCCTGTGGCCGGTCCTGGGGCTGAGGTTGGGGGGCGCCCCCGCACTCAGGAGGCTGTGGCAGAGTTGGGGCAGAAGCGTGGGCTGCTCTCTTGTTTGGGGGTTCACATCCGGGCCAGCTTGGTGCCCAGGGGACCATACCGGGCCAGGGGTCTCGCCTAGGGACCCCCCACGCAAACACACTCCAGGCCTTTAAGCTGTTGCCCTGGCCCCAAAGTAACTTCTGGGGTGCCTGCAGGCGGTGACCCCTCAGCCACGAGCATCTCTGGCTCAGAGGCAGATACACGCACGAAGGAGCACCCCCCCCACCCCAGCCCTATCAGGACACCCCACACCCTCCTCTGAGTGCTCTTCTTCCCTGGACCTCTGCCTGCGCCAGTGAAAGGAAATTTGGCGCTAATTTGCCCAAGGTAAGTAGGTGCTAATTTGTAGCTACAGCATCGGGGTAATTGCTGTGAGGGTCTATTTGTGTAATGTGCAAATGTATTTTTATAGCAACAAACCGTTTGGCTGTGAATTATAAATAGAACCGTTGGGGGGAGTTGAAGTCTGAGCTGGGCTCCCAGGGAGCAGGCCAGGGGGATCCAGGGACAAGCCCACCCCCCGCCGGCATCTCTGCTTCACTTCCATGGGCTCTTGGCACTTCCCAGTACCCATCGCAGGGGCCGGGGAGCAAGTGCCCAGGAGGGAGCCCCCCCCACCAGTGTCTCACGGACCAGCCCTGTTAACCGCTGACTCTGGGAGACAGAAGGAATGGGGTGCTGCATGCCCTCCCACCACGCCACCCTGAGTCCTGGTTGGAAGAAAACAGCTTGCTTAACTGGCTCTTAAAAGGACACCCTCCCCCCTCCCCCTCCCTCCCTCCCTCCCTTCCTTCCTTCCTTCCTTCCTTCCTCCCTTCCTTCCTTCCTCCCTTCCTCCCTCTCTCCCTTCCTTCCTCTCTTCCCTTCCTTCCTTTCTTCATTCATTCCTTCAGGTCTTTAAGCTGTTGCCTTCCCCTCCTTCCTTTTTTCATTCATTCATTCATTCATTCTTTTCTCCCTCCTCCCTTCCTCCCTTCCTTCCTTCCTTCCTTCCTTCCTTCCTTTCCTTCCCTTGCTCCCTTCCTTCCTTCCTTCCTTCCTTTCCTTCCCTTGCTCCCTTCCTTCCTTCCTTCCTTCCTTCCTTCCTTCCCTTGCTCCCTCCCTCCCTCCCTCCTTCCTTCCTCTATGCTCAGGGATCACTCCAGGGGGCGGGGATCCAGGTCCTGGAAGTGGTAGGGATGGACCCCAGGTCCACCACGCCCCACCTACTGTCCCGTCCGTCTCTCAGGATCTAGGCCCCAGAGCCGCTGTCAGGCTGCCTGTCCCTCTGGTCACGCATCTCCAGCCCACAGATGAGCTCTGGGGGAGGGGGGGGCCCTCGTGCTGCCCTGAGGGTGGGTGCGGTGCAGGACAGTGAGGGTCTCCGGCTGGGGGGACCTGCAATGGCCTGGGCTCTGGTGTCCGTGCAGACCAGGTGACCTGGGCCATGCCCAGAACTTGCCACGTGGACGGTTGAGTTTCTCACCTTCACTCGGGGTGGGAGGGGGTACCGGGTGGGCCCAGGGTCCCCTGCCTCGTCTTGCTGAGCTGGATTTGGACGGTGGCATTGGGTGTGGACCTGGTGGGACTTGCAGACAGTGACCCGCTGCCGGCCGGAACCTGACCCCCTGGCACACCCCGAACCCCCTCCCGCCACCCCATCTCAGGAGCGGGGACTCCTGGTCAGGCCCCACGGGGCAGGGGGGGGATGCAGGCTCAGACCCCGGGGGTCCCGGGCAGGGGCTGCTGTGGCTTGGGGGTCACTGGGGGCTGACCTGGGCTCCTCGGCCCTGGAAGGAACTGTCCCGGTCTCTGTGCTTCTCCCTCAGGGTGTCGGAAGGGACCTGCCTGGGTCCCCAAGAACCGGCCAACGTCTGGGTGTCCCCACCCGTGGGAGAGCATGTCCCAGCTGGAGCTGGAGGAACTGGCTGAAATAGGTACCGCTGGGGCGGGACCGGGACTCGGCAGAGCACACGTGCCCCTCCGGACGGACAGTGGCACCCCGCGAAGGGACAGGGCAGCCTGGGTGTGTCCACTGCCCACCTTCCCCCCAGGGCAGCTCGGGGTGTGTCCACCGCACACATCCCTCCAGAGGGCAGAGGAAAGGGCCTTCCCAGGCCGGAGCTGATTCAGGTCTGAGCACGGGCTTGCAAGTGGGCGCGGGTTCGAGCCCGGCGCCGCGTGGCCCCCAGCAGAGGCAGGAGCAGACCCGGGGCCCACGCGGTGCAGGAGCGGCCTCTGCGCACGGCCGGGCAGGGCACGAAGCAAGGAGCGGCAGTGCGTTTGCAGGAGCCTGCAGACGTGCTTGTGAGCAGTGACACACCGCGGAGGAATGCGACACGCAGCGCGGCCGGGAGCTTGTGCACGTACAGCCCAGGAGACTCGCTCCCTGCAGGGCAGCCGCTTTCCAGACCCGCAGAGCCCTGCCCCCGCCCAGTCTCGCCCTCCAGCCAATCAGAACTGTCGCTTCCTCACCTTCAGCCAATCACAGCTGTCACTTCCTTCCCAGCCCCACCCTTCACCCAATCACGGCTGGAGTTTCCTCATCCCCCGCCCCTCGCCCAATCACAGCTGTAGCTTCTTCTCCCTGACCCGCCCGTCATCCAATCACGGGTGTAGTTTCCTCATCTCTGCCTTTCACCCAATCACAGCTGGAGTTTCCTCTCCCAGCCCCACCCTTCACCCAATCACAGCTGGAGTTTCCTCTGCCCCCCCCCGCCCCTCGCCCTATCACAGCTGTAGCTTCTTCTCCCTGACCCGCCCATCATCCAATCACGGGTGTAGTTTCCTCATCTCTGCCTTTCACCCAATCACAGCTGGAGCCCCCTTCTCCCTGACCCGCCCATCATCCAATCACGGGTGTAGTTTCCTCATCTCTACCTTTCACCCAATCATAGCTCTGCCCCCCCGCCCCTCACCCAATCACAGCTGTAGCTTCTCCCGGCCCCGCCCTTCAGCCAACCACAGGTGTAGTTTCCCCGCCCACTCACCCATCACCCAATCATAGCTGGAGTTTCCTCATCTCTGCCTTTTACCCAATCACAGCTGTAACTTCCTTCCCAGCCCCACCCTTCACCCAATCACAGCTGGAGTTTCCTCTTTCCCCGCCCCCTCGCCCAATCACAGCTGTAGCTTCTTCTCCCTGCCCCGCCCTTCAGCCATCCACAGGTGTAGTTTCCTCATCTGCCTTTTACCCAATCACAGCAGGAGTTTCCTCGCCCACGCACCCATCACCCAATCACAGCTGGAGTTTCCTCATCTCTGCCTTTTACCCAATCACAGCTGTAGCTTCCTCTCCCAGCCCCGCCCTTCACCCAATCACAGCTGGAGTTTCCTCGCCTAGCTCTGCTTTTCACCCAATCACAGCTGGAGTTCCCTCACCCGGCTCTGCTTTTCACCCAATCACCCCCGCGGCTCCCTCCCCGCCCACTCGCACCTGCAGCGCCCCCTTTGCCCACGTGGGGTTTCTCGACTCTGCTCCGGGATGAGGACAGCGCTGCCCAGCAGCCTCTACAGTGCGCGTCGCAGGGACGTTGTGTCCATCTCTTCGGGTCTGTGGTGGGGGGCGTGGGTGCATCTGCAGCCCTGAGACCCACCTGTCACCCCGGGCGGGGGACACGTCCGTCCCCTCATGCTGTCACAGACCCAGTGGACAGGGGCGAGGTCCTGAGGAGGGGGCGTGGGACTGGCCTGGAGGCAGGTTCCTTGATGTGGAGGAATGTGTGTGCCCTGCACCCAGGGGACACTCAAGCCTGGCTTTGCCTTGGGAACCACTGCCAGAATCTATCACACACACACACACACACACACACACACACACACACCAGCCCTGTCCGTTCTAGGGTAGGACCCAGGGGCTTGTCAGTGGGACCCCAGCCGCTGGTGCCCTCCTTGCTGTGCCCATGTTTTTTTCTGGCGGGGACACCAGCCCTGGGGTGCAGCCGTGGGGCCCTGATACCCACACATAGCTTCTCCCAGGGGAGACACCAGTTGCTATAGGCCACCGCGAGCCTCTGGTGGGACCCGGCAGACCCGTCAGCTCTGCGGGCTCCGGTGGCCACTGGTGTCTGCAAGAACCTCGCTTACACCCAGGAAGACTCAGCAGTGGGGGACCCTCTCCCCGGCCCCACTGGGGCCTCCTGCCCACTGCCAGTGGCCGCAACTGGGCATCAATCCACGTGCACCCAGTGCTGCTAGGGACAGAGGGGCTTGTGGGGGCGTCCTCCCACCCCACCCCACCCCACCCCGATGGGCTTATTTCTCTGTAGGAGTCAGCCTGGGAGTGGCGGTGACAGTGTGGGCAGGACTCAGAGATGGGCGCTGGGGGGTGCCCAGGAGAGGGGGGTGTGGGGGGGGCAAGGGGAGGGGCAGTGAGACATGTGACTGCCCTACAAGGTAACCCCGGGAACACAGCACGCGTCCCCCCACCCCCCCTCTGCCCCTGCCCTGTCTGCTGCAGAGTTGCAAAGAGAAGAGGAGGAGGCAGCCCTGCTGGGCACAGCCTACGGACCCTCGGAGACCCCCGCGGTGGCGGAGGAACAGCTGGCGCTGAGCACTGACCACCCATTCTACGATGTGGCTAGACACGGCTTCCTGCAGGTGGCAGGTGGGGTCTGGGCCCGGGGGCAGGGGGGCGGGGGCAGGGCTGAGGGGGGCTCACGGTGCCATCTCATACTCACTCTGGGGACATGTGCTTGAAGGAGACCCACGGCCACTGAGGACTGGACAGTGTTTATTTATTATTTCTTAAATTTATTTTCACTTTTTTTGGGTCATACCCGGCGATGCACAGGGGTTCCTCCTGGCTCTGCATTCAGGAATCCCTCGTGGCAGTGCTCGGGGGACCCTATGGGATGCTGGGGATCGAACCCGGGTCGGCCGCGTGCAAGGCAAACGCTCTCCCCACTATGCTATCGCTCCGGCCCTGAGGTCAGTTCTGTAGGTTTCAGTTCAATGGGCAGGCGACCCCTCTGTGGGCTGAGCCGGGACCCCGTTTTCTCTGAAGCCAGGTGGCTCCTGCATGCAGGTCCTGGACAGGAGCTGGTGACGGTCTGAGGGGATGCCCGTAGGGGTGCTTCCTCGGCGAGAAGGGGCCCGGGATCAGCGCTTGTGGGGCTGACACTCTGCTCCTGCAGGGCAGGACCGCTGCGGGCAGCGCGTGGTCACCTTCAGCTGCTGCCGCCTGCCCCCGTCCCACCAACTCGACCACAGGCGCCTGCTGAAGTAAGTCTGGCCCACGGGCTGCGCGCGCACCTCACTGCCCGCCTGGCCTCCCATGGGCAGACGCACCCCTGCATGTGCTGCCCGTCCAGGACATATGTACCATTGTACTCACCCCTCCCCAGCACACGCCCCTCCCTGCCACACACGCACCCCTGCATGTGCCCTTCCCACCCACAGTCTCAGCATGTGCCCCTCCCTCTCACACAAGCACCCCTGCACATGCCCCTCCCTAGCACACATGCACCCATGCATATGCCCCTCCCTGTCACATAATGTACCCCTGCATATGCCCTGCCCACCCACACACACCCAGCATGTGCCCCTCCCTAGCACACACGCACCCCTGCACACACCCCTCCCTATCACACATTCACTCCTGCACACACTCCATCCTAGCATACGTGCACCCCTGCACACACCCCTCCCAGGCTCACACGCACCCCTGCATGTGCCCTTCCAACCCACGCAGACTCAGCATGTGCCCCTCCCTGTCACACATGCACCCCTGCACACGACCCTCCCTATCAAAAATTCACCCCTGCACACTCCCCTTCATAGCACACATGCACCCCTGCACACACCCCTCCCTGGCTCACACGCACCCCTGCATGTGCCCTTCCCACCCACACACACACACAGCCCAACAAATGCCCCTCCCTAGCACACACGCACCCCTGCACACGCCCCTCTCTGTCACACACTCACCCCTGCAGTCTCCTCTCCCAGGCAGCCCTGGTGCACCCCCACAGCACACACTCCTGCTCATGCCCGTCCCCAGCACACACGCACCCCTGCAGGGCTCCCCCTCCAGCACATCCCACCCAGCCCTCGCAGGGTGGGTGGACCCGAGGCCAAGGCTGATGCTCAGGAGCCGAGCAGGGCAGGGCTGGGCCACTGGCCACCAAGCCCAGGCCAGGGGACGGGACCTTCTCCAGCACAGTACCAGCAGCGCCAGACCCCTGCACTGGACTCGGGGGAGGGTCTCCAGGCCCTGGGGTCCCCTCCCAAGCCTGAGCCCCTGGGAGAGCCTGCATCACTTGGTGCTCGCTACTCAGGAGGGCCGGGCCCCTGGGGTCCCCCCTCGTGTTCCCCGCACCCCTGTGGCCGCCCTGGGAGGGGAGCCCAATGCCCTCACACTCTCCCCACGGTTCCTGCCCTGCCATGCCTGCGGCCACGGTGTCCAGCAGTGTCCTCCCAGCCGGCTGGCGTGTCTTCGTGACACCCCAGTTGTTCCGCCCGGTGAACCTGCCATCTCTGACGCCCAGAAGCTCGGCTGTCCTGGGGAGCCCGTGGGGGCGCGTGCCCTCCGGAGCCCCCGCCGCAGTCACTGCTCCCGAGACTGCTGAGACCCGACTCCACCAGAGGCCTGGTCACGCGGCCCCGAGGGGCCATGGAAAGGGACGGCGCCTGGGACCCTTTGCCCTGTGCGCCGTGAGCCGGGCCTGCGGGTGGGCCCGGTGGCAGCCGCCTCTCTGCGCAGGTACCTGGAGCACGAGCTGGCCCTGCACGGCGGGCGGGAGTACGCGCTGGTCTACTTCCACCACGGGCTGCACCGCGGGAACCGGCCCTCGCTGCGGTGGCTGCAGAGCGCCTATGGCCAGCTCCAGCACCGGTCAGCGGCAGCCCCACGCCCCAGGGGACACGCGAGACCCGGGCGGGGGTGGGGGAGGGGCCGCGGTCGGGGTCCCGTGTGCAGCCACGTCCCCCCTGCGCCCGCAGGTACAGGAAGAACCTGAAGGCCCTGTACGTGGTGCATCCCAGCAACTCCCTTCGCGTCCTGTGGGCCCTGCTCAAGCCCCTCGTCAGGTGCCGCCCCGGGACCCCGCTAGGGAGCACAGTGCTCGCGGCCACGGGTGGGGGGTGTACTGGGCGTGGGAAACAGATGCTCACAGGGGGTCTCCCGACAGCGATCAAAGGCCTCCGGACCCTCCCGGCCATTCCCGGCCTGCTGGGGTGTGGCTCAGCGTGAAGGTCCGAAGGGGCGGTGCTCAAGGCCCCCCACCCTGTGTCGGGGGTTGCCCGGGTCACAGTGACGGTGCTGGGACCCCTGAGGTCACACCCCGCCAGACTCGGGACTCCTGGTATCAGGGACCGGACTGCAGGCGCTGCGTACAAGGTGCCTTCAACACCACACCACGACCAGCCCACATGGGAAGGTTCTACACAACACACACTCGCTCACACTCACACACATACTGGAGTACCCACGGAATCGCACACTTGCAACGACATACACACACACGCAGACACACTCCTGCACGCATGCTCACAGTTTGACACTCACACACAGGCACTGGTACACTCACACTCAGGTGCTCACACACTCATACACACACTTAGGCACTCCCAGTGACACAGTCACACAATGACACGTACATTCAGACACTTACACACATACTCAGACACTGACATACTGACACACACACTTGGACACTGACAACACTCACACACAGACACTGAGTGATACACTCACACACTTAGACACTGACACACTCACACACTTAGACACTGACACACACTCACACACTGACACACTCAGACACCGGCACTCACACACTCAGACGCTGACACACATACTGACACATACACACACACATTGACACACCCAGACATCGACACTCAGACACTGACACCCTGACACACACACTGACACACTCGCGCACACTCACCAGAACTCAGGACCCTGTGGGCATGTCGCCCAGTCTGATCAGGAGTCAGGGTGGGCACCGGCCGGCCCGCAGGGGCGGGGCATGAGTGTGGGCTGGACCTGTGTCCCCTCCGGCTGGAAGGGCTGGACGCCAGGTCGGGGGAGATGGAGAATCAGAAGCAGCTGGCCCCTTCCCAGCCAGGTCTGCGTTCCAGGGGGCCCGGGGGCTGAGGGGGGAGTTTACAGAGGGGGGAGGGGAACGGAAGTGGGGGGGCTGGGTTCGCCCTGGGGGCCGCCCATGGGGTAGGACTTGGGGAGCGGCAGCTCTGGCCACAGCTGAGGCCCGTGGGGACACCCCTGAGCCCGACCTTGGGCGCTGGCTGCAGGGGGCTGCAGGGGGTCCCATCACTCCCCCCCACCCAGCCCCGATTCATGGCCAGTCCCTGCAGGCTGGGCGGGCTCGCGGTCACTCTCGGCCCCCTCCCGCAGCCACAAGTTCGGGAAGAAGATCACGTACGTCCACTCCCTGCGTGAGCTGCAGGAGCAGTTCCCCGGCCTGCAGCTGACGGTGCCCCCCGAAGTCCGCCGGTGCGTGGCCGGGACCCCCGTGCGTGCCGCCCCCCAGGGCTGTGGCCCGGGACCCCCGCCCACCCTCAGCTGCGGCTCTGAATGTCGGGACCGTCCTGGCCTTGGGTGACGGTGCCTGAGGGTGCGGGTCCCCTCGCAGCCCGGCTCCCGAACGCTGTGCTGTCATGGGTGCGTCGGCCTGGCCACCCCCTGCCCTTGGCACCTGCCTCTGGGGGCTGGTTGAGGTACCAGGGCTGAGCTGGTCCTCGGGCGGGTGAGGTCCGTGTGGGTGCAGTATGTGGTCCCATACTCTGTGGGGAATTCCCTGGTGGCACCAGATCCCGCTCCCTGCCCCCATGATGGGAGCCCTAGGTCAGTGATGCCAGGGGCCGGAGCAGGTGCTGAACCTAGTGGTGAAGGCACTAGGAGAGGCTCAGTCAGGGAAGGCTTCCAGGAGGAGGTGGCTCCTGGAGTGACTGTTCGAGGGAAACCATGCAGGGAGGTGTCCAGCAGAGGGATGTCCCCTGGAGACACCGGGGGGGGGGGTGGGGGACAGTCTGGTCACGGGTTGGCAGGAGGGCCGAGCAGATGACCCTCCTGCCTCCGCATGGCCAGCGCAGGAGGGGTTTGGAATGTGGGGGGGGCAGTGGGTCTGCTCGGGGCCTTCCCCCGCGGTCACGGCTGAGCCCCCGCTGTGTCCGCAGCTACGATGAGGCGCTCCAGAACCTGCACCAGGGCCGGCCGCCTCCTCCCGCCAAGACGCCTCCACCTCGGCCCCCGCTGCCCACCCAGCAGTTTGGCGTCAGCCTGCAGTAGTGAGTGAGGGTGGGGGCGGGGCCGGGAGAGCTGGGGCGGGGCCAGGGAGAGCTGGGGCGGAGCTTGGGCGGGGCCAGGGAGATCCGGGGCGGGGCCAGGGAGGTCGGGGTGGTGTCAGGGAGGGGCGGGGCCATGGAGAGATGGGGCGGGGCCAGGGAGATCAGGGGTGGAGTCAGGGAGGGACCAGGGAGATCCGGGGCGGGGCCAGGGAGGTCGGGGGTGGGGTCAGGGAGGGGCGGGGCCATGGAGAGATGGGGCGGGGCCAGGGAGATCAGGAGTGGAGTCAGGGAGGGGCCAGGGAGATCCGGGGCGGGGCCAGGGAGGTCGGGGGTGGGGTCAGGGAGGGGCGGGGCCAGGGAGATCCGGGGCCGGGCCAGGGAGGTCGGGGGTGGGGTCAGGGAGGGGCGGGGCCAGGGAGAGATGGGGGCGGGGCCAGGGAGGGCCGGGGAGAGGTGGGGCGGGGCCAGGGAAAGGGGCGGGGCGATCTGGGGCGGGGCCAGGAAGAGCCCAGGACTCTAGAGCACTGGCCTAGCAGGTGGGTGGCCTAGGTCCAGCCTAGGTCCAGGACCTGCACCGCCGCATGAGCGCTGTGAGCCACCAGGCACACCAGCCTGAGGCTCCCGCTGGCTGGCTGGGTCGGCTCTGGGGTGGTTCTCGGACCCAGGGTCAAGCTCAGACCTCCCTCCCCGTCCACGCATGTCTGCAGTCCAGTGCACGTGGCTTGCATCAAGCGGGTTTTCGTTTCCTTTAGGGGCCACACCTGAGCACCTCGTCCCAGCTCGGGGCCCTAGGGTGGGTCCTGGAGGTGCCGAAGGGACTACGGTTTGACTGGGCTGGAGCTCTCAGTCGGGAAGTGGTCCAGAGACCCCGGTTCTGCTTACTCCGCTGGGCACCCCTGTGTGTGCTCCCACCTCCTCAATGCAGTTTCCTCTGCCTTTCTTTCATCTTTGTGGTGCCGTTCGTAGCCGCACACCTGCAGGGCCTGGGGGCACACCTGAGACCCGCACCTTCTTCAGCCTGCAGCCTGTTCCCTCTTTCGTCTTCTGCAGGCTCCTATTCACCCCTCAAAACCCCGCCCAGAAGTTGCCCCTGGAATGCCCTGCACTGCAGGGCCGCCCTTCCTGGGAGCCAAGCCGAGGGTCTCTGACTCTCCTGGGCTCCCCGCACCCCGCCACAGCCGCCCTGACAACCTTCGCTTTCTCTCCTCACAGTCTCAGAGACAAAAATCAGGGCGAACTCATTCCTCCTGTGCTGCGGTTCACGGTGACGTACCTGAGAGAGAAAGGTGAGTGGGGCTGGCACGGCCCTGGGGCCCCCAGCAGCCAGGTTGCCGCAGAGACCAGAAACCCCCGGGCTGGGCTCCGGCCACCTGGGTTTGGTTCCTGCTGGCTGTGTGATCTTGGCCCTGTTCCTTGCTGTCTCTGTTTCCCTGGCTGCCCAGTGAGGTGAAAAACAGAACAGAGTGGTCCTCTGGCCTAAAGTGGGGGGCACAGCAAAGACTTCTGGAGCAGGGATGCCTTTGACCCCCAGTTCCCACTGTGGCAGCATCTGTCACACGGAGGGGCGTGGCTGGTGCCTCCCCAAGCCTCCTCAGGCCCACGTCCAGACCCACAGGGAGGGGACCAGGGTGGGCTCTGGGTAGACTCTGTCTTTACTTCGTAGACTCAGAGAGGGCCAGTGCTTTCGCAAGGTCACACAGCAGGCATGGAGCAGAGTCGGGCGGGTCTGTCCGACTGGCATATGGGTCCCTTCTGGGACCACCAAAATAGAAAATTCAGTGGTTCTGTGTCCACGATAAAGTTTACTTGGGGGGAGAATGAGGAGGCGGGTGGGGGTGAGGGAACTGGACTGGAGAGCTTCCCCCACCAGCCTCGGGCAGGAGAGCCCTGGAACGTTCCAGAAGCCCCGTGTGCTGGTATCCTCGAGGTTCCTGAGGCCCTCTCCCCCCCGCCAGGGCTGCACACCAAGGGCCTATTCCGGAAACCGGCCAGCATCCAGAGTGTCCGCGAGGTCCAGCGGCTCTACAACCAGGGTGAGGGGGCCCCCAGGCAGTCCGCGTTTCGGGGTCACCTGAACCCAGCACAGGTCACCAACATGGGGACTCTTAGCCAGTGCTTATGGTCACGTCTGTGCTCGTGATGACAGCCTTTTCTTCTGTCGATGTTTTGTTTTCTTGCTTGGGGGCGTAGGGGTCACACCCAGCAGTGCTCAGGGCTGACTCCTGGCTCTGTGCTCAGGGCTGACTCCTGGCTCTGTGCTCAGGGCTCACTCCTGGCTCTGTGCTCGGGACTGACTCCTGGTTTTGTGCTCAGGGCTTGCTCCTGGTTCTGTGCTCGGGGCTCACTCACTCACTCAGGGGACCTTGGGGGTGCTGAACCCCAGTTTTCCATGTGTGCAGGGCAAAAGCCCTCCCTGCCCCTATTCTGTCATGCCTGGCTGTCATTGCTCTATTTTATTTGCTTGTTTTGTTTTGGGGGTCACATCTGGCAGTGCTCAGGGTGACTCCTGGTTCGGCTCAGGGCACCATATGGGGGTGCGGGGATCGAACCCGGGTCAGCTGTGTGCAAGGCAAGAGCCCCCCTGCAGCCTGATCTCTCAGCCCGTTTATTTTTTGTTTTTTTTTTCCCGTTTGGGGAACTGAACCTGGGCCCCGGGCCAGGGCCGTGCCGCCGAGCCGTATGCCGGCATCACCCTTCCTTTCCCCGTGAGTGTCCCAATCTCTCCGAATTCCCGCTCTGCATCTAGGCGTGTCCCAGGAGCTGTGACCACCTCCGAGGCGTGGGTGAACCAGCCACAGTTCCAGGCGTCTGCTGACACCCACACTGGGGGGCCGTGGGACCCCCGCAGCCCCCAACCACCCCTGTGCTGTGCCGAGCAGGGAAGCGGGTGGACTTGGACGCCTACGGGGACGTGCACGTGGCCGCCGCGACCCTCAAGGCCTTCCTCCGAGAGCTGCCGCAGCCGCTGCTCACCGACGAGGTGCTGGAGCAGATTCTCGGCATCACCGGTAGGGGCGGCCACCCCGGGCCCAGGGGTGCAGAGACCCCACAGAGGGCAGCACCGCCACGGCTTCTCCCCCCCTCCCGCGCCCCCGTCCCGGGGCGGGACCAGGAAGGGCCTCCTGTCGCTGCAGGGGTGGCGAGCAGCCTGCGCGTGACCCGCTGCCGCCAGATCGCGCAGAGCCTCCCGGAGCACAACCACGCCGTCCTCAGCTACCTCGTGGGCTTCCTGCATGAGGTGGGTGTGTGGGCCGGGCACACTTCCGCGCGCCAGCCCCCACTTCCTGTCTTCGAGCCCACACATTCTGTCCTCAAGCCCGCGCTTCCTGTCCTTGAGCCCACACATCCTGTCCTCGAGCTCATACTTCCTGTCCTTGAGCCCATGCTTCCTGTCCTCAAACCTGCACTTCCTGTTCTTGAACCTGCACTTCCTGTCCTCGAGCCTGCACTTCCTGTTCTTGAACCTGCACTTCCTGTTCTTGAACCTGCACTTCCTGTCCTCGAGCCTGCACTTCCTGTTCTCGAGCCCTCACTTCCTGTCCTCAAAACTGCACTTCCTGTCCTCGAGCCTGCACTTCCTGTCCTCGAGCTCAGACTTCCTGTCCTTGAGCCCGCACTTCCTGTTCTCGAGCTCAGACTTCGTGTTCTCGAGCTCAGACTACCTGTCCTCGAGCCTGCACTTCCTGTTCTTGAACCTGCACTTCCTGTCCTCAAGCCCGCACTTCCTGTCCTCGAACCTGCACTTCCTGTTCTTGAACCTGCACTTCCTGTCCTCGAGCCTGCACTTCCTGTTCTTGAGCTCAGACTTCCTGTTCTTGAACCTGCACTTCCTGCCCTCGAACCTATACTTCCTCTCCTCAAGCCCACACTTCCTGTCCTCAAAACTGCACTTCCTGTCCTCGAGCCCACACTTCCTGTCCTCGAGCTCATACTTCCTGTCCTTGAGCCTGCACTTCCTGTCCTCAAGCCCACACTTCCTATCCTCTAAACTGCACTTCCTGTCCTTGAGGTCATATTTCCTGTCCTTGAAGTCATATTTCCTGTCCTTGAGGTCATATTTCCTGTCCTCGAGCCCACATTTTCTGTCCCCGAGCTCACACTTCCTGTCCTCGAACCCATGCTTCCAGGCCTGTTTGGGCAGTAGGTGCTGATGCTGGTAGCTGACCCGCCCCTGACAGGCCTACTGCCCCAGACCTGGCTACTGGCCACCTTTCTGCACGGAGCCTGCCTGTCCCTATGTCCACTCCTGTGCACAGAGTCTGCTGGGGGCCCACACCGGGGGAGGGGGGACACCCCAACCCAGGATCAAGGGCCACCCTGAGTGATTGGGGGATGTGGCACGGGGGTCCCGCCCGCATGAGAAGCCGATTCTGTCCCTACCCAGAGGCCACAACCTGGACCCAGGCTCCCGGGGCACTTCCTGCCTCTTCCAGCTCTGAGGCGCAGGGGCTGCCCCTGTCTCCCGCCTCTTCCTTACTGGGGGAGGCACGGCCAGCGATGCTCTGTGCCCCTCGAAGACCCCCTCTGGCTCTGCCCCGCCTCTCCCTGTCCCTTTCATCCCCCACCCCTGCCCCTCCTGGGCCTGACCCCCAGGTGACCGTGCCGTCCCTGCCCCCAGGTGTCCCGGGAGAGCCTGACCAATGGCATGAGCAGCTCCAGCCTGGCCCGTGTCTTCGCGCTGAACCTCCTGTGGCGGGGGTCAGCTGAGCTGGACGCGCTGGTGCCGCTGCTCCTGTTCACAGAGCTGCTGATCGAGCACCCCGGGAAGGTCTTCCGCGCGCCCGGGGCGGGTGGGGAGGACGCAGGGGGCCCCACCCGCCTGCCTGCACCCACAGTGCCCCCGCGGCCCCTGCGCCCGGCACTTGCACAGGTGCAGACTCAGCATTAAACAGTCCCCCCCCCCCCCGGGCACTGCCCCTGCTGGTGCTTCGCCCCAAACTCAGTCATGGGACTCAGCCACGCTGGCCAGTGACTCCACTTCAGCCGCTGCTGGCCACGCCCGGGTCAGCCTTGTCTGCATGGGATGTGACTGGGCTGGGTCGCTGGCACCATTGGCCTGGCCTCTTCTGCCACACCAGGGCCCAGCCAGGCTCCTCCAGGGCCACAGGTGGGGAGGTCGCCGGACTGTGTGACCAGCAGAGGCCCCCATGGCAACCCCAGGACCCCAGAATCTGCAGAAATCTCCCAGATTCACCCTCATGGGTCCCCCTCAGCCCACCCAGTGGTGGGTGACAAGAGGGTGCCCTCAAAAAAAAATGGAGCAATAGCACATTGGAGAGGGCATTTGCCTTGCACGCGGCCAACCTGGGTTCGATTCCCAGCATCCCATAGGGTCCCCCGAGCACCGCCAGGAGTCATTCCTGACTGCAGAGCCAGGAGTAACCCCTGAGCATCGCCAGGTGGGACCCAAAAAGCAAAAAAGAAAAAGAAAAAAGAAAAAGAGGGCGCCCTCTGTATTGGTTGCTCCAACCTAGGGGGCTTGTCCAGTCTCGGAGCTTGGACAGCTGAGGCCCACGTACAGGCACCTGGGTTTGTGGCGGGGGTCACCAACGTCTGTCACTCTGGTGGGTCCACATGACAGATGGTGGGGGGGAAGGCTAAGAGCTGGGGCGCCCTGCTCTGATTGGCTAAAGGGATGGGCGTGCCCTGCTCTGATTGGCCAAGTGCTGGGGCGCCCTGCTCTGATTGGCTAAAGGGCTGGGCGTGCCCCGCTCTGGTTGGCTAAGAACTGGAGCGTCCCTGATGCCCTTCACTGATGCCCCCTACACCTTCACTGATGCCCCCTACTCCAGAGCCCGTTGCTGGGGTGCCCAGAAGCCACTTCTGCAAAGGGTCAGGGGGCCTCGTGACCTCAGCCGTGCCCAAGTCCGGTCTCCCTGGTTGGGGGACAGAGGCGGGGAGTGTCAGGCCCGACCCCGTCATGCTCAGGGCCCTGCCCCAGGCTTGTGCTCAGGAGTGAGCCCTGGCGGTGGTGAGGTGGCAGGTTGGAAATGGGCCCAGCCACAAAAACTGGAGCAATAGCACAGCGGGTAGGGTGTTTGCCTTGCATGCGACCGACCTGGGTTCGATTTCCAGCATCCCATAGGGTCCCCCGAGCACCACCAGGAGTGATTCCTGAGTGCATGAGCCAGGAGGAACCCCTGAGCATCGCCGAGTGTGACCCAAAAAGCAAAAAAAAAAAAAAAAAAAAAAAAGGCGCCTTCTGTATTGGTTGCGCCAACCTGGGGGGCTTGTCCAGTCTGAAGCTTGGACAGCTGACTGCAGCAAAGCTCGCTGACTGCATGGTGTCCGAGGTCACACAGCTGCCCCGTCCGCAGGCGGGGAGCCCAGCAGGCTGTGGGCCCATCTCTTGAGACATCTGGCTTCACACCGCAGCCAGGGCGGGGCGCTCCAGCTCTTAGCCAATGGGGGTGGGAGAACGCTCTGGCTCTAGCCAACCAGGGCGAGGCGCTCCAACTCTTAGCCAATGGGGGTGGGAGAACGCTCTGGCTCTAGCCAACCAGGGCAAGGCGCTCCAGCTCTTAGCCAATGGGGGTGGGAGAACGCTCTGGCTCTAGCCAACCAGGGCGAGGCGCTCCAGCTCTTAGCCAATGGGGGTGGGAGAACGCTCTGGCTCTAGCCAACCAGGGCGAGGCGCTCCAGCTCTTAGCCAATGGGGGTGGGAGAACGCTCTGGCTCTAACCAACCAGGGCGAGGCGCTCCAGTTCTTAGCCAATGGGGGTGGGAGAACGCTCTGGCTCTAGCCAACCAGGGCGAGGCGCTCCAGCTCTTAGCCAATGGGGGTGGGAGGCTGCTCCAGCGCTAGCCAACCAGAGCGGGGCGCTCCAATCCTTAGCCAACCAGGGCGGGACGCTCCAACTCTTAACCAACCAGACAAGGGCGCTCTAACCCTCAGCCAACCAGGGAGGGACGCTCCAGTTCTTAGCCAACCAGAGCGGGGCACGCCCAGCCCTTTAGCCAATCAGAGCAGAGCGCCCCAGCACTTGGCCAATCAGAGCGGGGCACGCCTAGCCCTTTAGCCAATCAGAGCAGAGCGCCCCAGCACTTGGCCAATCAGAGCGGGGCACGCCCAGCCCTTTAGCCAATCAGAGCAGAGCGCCCCAGCACTTGGCCAATCAGAGCGGGGCACGCCTAGCCCTTTAGCCAATCAGAGCAGGGCGCCCCAGCTCTTAGCCAACCAGAGCCAGCCCAGTGCTGCCCACTCCGGGAGCAGGAGGCTTTGCAGCGCCACGCACGTTTCTGAGATCTCTCTCAAAGCCTGCAGTCCCGAGAGGTGGCCCCGGGCTGCAGCTCCAGGAGTACGAGGATGCGGGTGTGCGCGATTCTGCCCCCTTGCCTGGGACCTGCGCAGCCCCGTTTCCACCTCCTGATCCACCGCCCAGGGCCTGATCGCCGCGACCCTGCGTGGAAACTGCACGTGGCCCGTTTCAGCTTTAGGACGATGCCCTGTGTGGCGTGGGAGCGAGGACTCCCAGGCCTCCATGGACGGGGACGTGAGGGGTCAGTTGTGCAAACGTTCCGCTCCCGCAGCCAGGCCCGCGTGCAGTTAGTTGCGGTGGGCAGGGAGCAGGCCAGCTGCCCAGAACTTGCAGCTCAAAAGGCACAAGGAGAGAATGAATCTCGTCCAGGGCCTCGAAGTCTGAGCAGAGTTCAGAGCGGTGGGACTGGGGCTGGAGCGATAGCACAGCGGGGAGGGTGTTTGCCTTGCACACGGCCCACCTGGGTTCAATTCCCAGCATCCCATAGGGTCCCCTGAGCACTGCCAGGAGTAATTCCTGAGTGCATAAGAGCCAGGAATAACCCCTGTGCATTGCTGGGTGTGACCCAAAAAGCAAAAAAAAAAAAAAGAGTGGTGGGACTGCCTGGGGAATGGGCCAGGTTGGCAGTTTTGTGGGGGCGGAGAGCAAGAATTGGGCACCCCACTTCTGGGGCCAGCTGGGCTCCCCACCATGACCTTCGTGCACCCTCTAGCTTGAAGGTGGAGTTCAAGGTGGACGCTGGGCTGCTTTTCCCTCTTCCATGGGGGCACACCCAGCAAAGTGCCGGGCTGGCCTCTGTACCAGGGAGACGCCATCCACGCTGCCACCCCGAGCTCCTCAAAGCCTTCCTCAGGCTACAGCAGCAGTGTCTTGCTTCTTCCTGCCACCAGGGGCTGGGTAGAGGGGACAGGACGTAGCAAACGGGCCAAGAGAGAGGTTACGACGCTTGCCTTGCCCGCAGCAGAGCCTGGCTTGCTCCTCCACACTGGGTATGGTCCCCCTGAGTCCCACCATGAATGATCCCTGAGCACCACTGAGTGTGGTCCAAAAACCAAAGCCGGGACCTGAAAGATCACACAGGGGTTCAGGCCATTTGCCTTGTACGTGGCCAACCTCAGTTCAAATCCCCAGCACCACACATGGTCCTTCAAGGTCCCACCAGGGGTCACGGCCGGTCACAGAGCCAGGAAGAGCCCCTGAGCACTGCAGGGTGTTGCCCTAACACTCCGACTCCGAACCCAACACACAGCTTTCATAGACCAGGCAGGCTCAGGAGACGGCAAGAAGAGACTTTGGGGCTCCCCGCCAATGGCTGAGGTTTGCAGGCAGCTTGAGCGTGACCACGCCGAAGAGGAGGTCTTGCTGGTGGTGTCTAACCAGATCTGAAGTTGATTCTAAGAACCCGAAATGCTCAGGGACTACCACCAGGTGGCGCTGTCTCCCCCCAGTGATGGCCCTGGGTGACCCAGCAGGAGGGAGGGGTTTCTGCCACTTGGGGGCCCCTTTCCAATGGCACACCTGGAGGGCGGTGGGCAGTGCAGGGGTGCTGTGTGGAGGCAGCTGTGCTGGTACCCCATGGGGCTGGACAGGGATCAGGCACCAGCAGGCACACACACATGCACGCGCGCGCGCACACACACACACACATGCACACACTCCGCCCACGCAGGCAGGACCAAGGTGGTCCTGAGCCAGGCAGCTGTGGCTCTCCGTGGCATCTGTGTCTCCTGCCCCCGTGTGCTGTGGCGAGGCCAGGGTCCATCATGGGTGTCCAGCTGGGCCAGGCGTGGCCTTCGGGAGAAGCTGGACCCTGGCACAGTGACCCTGCAGAGAAGCCGCCGGGCCACTATACCCAGATGCCAAGCAGGGAGGAATGAGGGTGAGCGACCCCTTGGGGCTCAGGCTTAGGCCCACTGGGAAGCCGGATGCAGGACCCTGGGAGCTCGGCTGTGCCCCGCCCGGGCACCTGTGTCTGGAGTGTGCTCCGAGGGGGGTAGGAACCTCCAAGCTCTCTCCTTCCCTCGGGTGGGGGCCAGCTCCAGGCTATTTGGTCTCTGCGGGTCCCCAGGTCCACACCTCCCTCTGCCTGTTCCACACCCCCGCCGCAGGCAGGAAACAGGCACCAAGGCTGAAACCATCCATGAGTTTAATGCATCTCACAGCAGGAAAACTACATCAGCTTAGCAAAGACAAAAACACTCTCTCTACCTCACTAGCCGCTGGCCGGCCCTTCTCAGCCCAAAGCCCCGAACCAAACGGAAGAAAGAAAGCAACAGAAAACCAAGTCTCGAGACGGTCAGCAGCTGCCCCTCTGGGCTCGACCTCTCCTCGCCTCTCAGCACATTGAAAAATGGAAAAAAAAAAAAGGGGGGGACTGGAGAGATAGCACAGCGGGTAGGGCGTTTGCCTTGCACGCGGCCGACCCGGGTTCAATTCCCAGCATCCCATATGGCCCCCCGAGCACTGCCAGGAATAATTCCTGAGTGCCTGAGCCAGGAGTAACCCCCTGTGCATCGCTGGGTGTGACCCAAAAAGGAAAAAAAAAAAAGAAAGAAAATGGATTCAGTTCATCCTCCGAGAAGACAAACCACTGACAGGAAACGAACCTTCTTAAGACATCGACCCCCCAAGCTGGTGGCGGGCGGGGCCCGGGCACACTCTGTTCTTCGATAAAAGAATAGAAAAATCTTGTTCAACCCAGTGTCGGTGTATTAAAATAGATCTGTATCATACAGCACAGTTTCTCCCGGCTGGAGGAGGGCGTGAGGGCCCGGGGCTGCAGGGGGGCCCGCCCACCTCCTCCCTCTGACCTGTCTGCGTGTGGGGCGGGAGCCCGCGACACACACGTGTGTTCTATGCAATTCGGCACCATGTGATAGGCGGGGAAGTCGGGGCGGGGGTCGGATGCGGAGATCCTGTTGTGCTAAGTCCCTGGGAGCTCGGGATGCTGGTGGCTAGGATGAGCTGGGGGCAGGGGGGCTCTGGACAGGTTGGCTTGGTCTCTCTGGGGGAGGGGGGGTCTCGGGGATCACAGGCGTCCTGTCTCCCCACCCCCGCCCACTCCTTCCCATCTGCACTCCAGTTCTTTAAAAGAAAAAAAAAAGTGGTTCCCTCCAGTTTGGCAGCAATCCCCCCGCAAAGGGGAGGGTCCCCCTCACCCCTGCGCAGGGACCACTCTGGGCGGGCAACGGCCAGGCCAGCAGCACCCCCGGCCGCGGGCCCCTCCCGGAACCCAAACGCCACGCAAAAAGGGAAAAGGTCGTTTTTGGCTTCGTGTCTGCACTGGCAACAGTGGGGTGGGGGGATGGAACGTCCTCGGCTCCGCGAGGAGAGGGGGCGAGGTTCCGAGTGCAGGGGCGTGGGGGCCCTTCCCAGCGACGGGGCCGCGGCCCCTAATACTGACCGGCGGGGCCCAGACTGCTGCCCGCAGCTCTGGCCGGCACCTGGCGGGGGGGGGGGGGGCCTTGCTCCCTCAGGGGCGCCCTCCCCGGGCCCCCGAGCCCACCTCCCGCGCCCCGGCCGGCCAGCGGCAGTTCGTGTCTGGAATTCACAGCATTTCTGAGTTAAGGCGGACGGGACCCCCGGGCCTGGTGCCGAGCGTCCCAGTGGCTTTCCGGGGCATCAGTTGTGGCCCGGGGGGTGCGGTAGGACTGAGTGCACAGGCAGCGTGGCCGGCTTGGTCCAGGCCGTGGGCAGCAGTGGGGCGGGGCTGGCACTGGTCACGGTGCCCCGGATCAGCCGCAGGAGCGCACGCAGGCGGCCCAGGGTGGACTGGGCCCCCCGCTGCCGGGCCAGCAGGCTGCTCTTCAGTTCCAGGCATTTCTGGGAGGGGGGGAGAACGGGTTCGAGTGCAGCCACCCCGAGAACAGAACTCAGACCTCAGGTGCCACCCAGGCCTCGCACTGCCCTCGGCCCGCAGGAGAAGCTCAGCACACAGAGGCTGGGCGGCCCAGTGGTCACCCACCTGTGCCGGATGCCCTCACCCAGAGCGGCCAGCAAGGCCAGACACAGTTCACTGCACAGCCGGAGAGAGGTCGTCAGAGCGGAGAGCGGGTAGGGAGCAGAGCCCTTGGGGGGGGGGTCGCGGGGAGCGTGGAGATTCACCCACAGTCCTCCCACCCCCGCCACCCCGCCTGCACACGTCCCCACATGGGCACCGTCCCCAATCAGCACCGTCAGCAATGTCACTGCCAGGACCATCAGGGTCACCGAGACGACCATGGCCACCAGCAGCGCCGGCAGCTCTGATCACCACCGTCAGCGCCATCACGTCACACCCCGTATCTACTACCCTGTCACACCATCACCGTCACCCCCATCTCTACATCACTGTCACCGTTACTTTCATACCCCGTCTCTACTACACCGTCACACTGTCACCATGACACACCGTAACCATCACACCTCGCCTCGACTACCCCATCCCAGGCACCATCACTGTCACCCGCCATCTCCTACACCGTCACAGGCACCGTCACCGTCACCCTCTCTAATCGTCACCCTCAGGGCTGGAGCAATAGCACAGCGGGTCGGGCGTTTGCCTTGCACGCGGCCAAACCCGGGTTCGATTCCCAGCATCCCATATGGTCCCCCGAGCACCGCCAGGAGTAATTCCTGAGCGCATGAGCCAGGAGGAACCCCTGTGCAATGCCGGGTGTGACCCAAGAAGGAAAAAAAAGTCACCCTCACCGCCACCTCGCACCCTCAGAGGGCGTATAACGCCTCGTCTCATCACGATCTGTCTCTGTCTGTCTTTCTCTCTCTCTCTCTCTTCTCTCTCTCTCAGCATCACCGCCCCTCCCCGGGACTTGTGACCTCAAGGCCCAGCCCTGCATGCTGGGCAGAGGCAGAGGCAACTCCCGAGCTGGCTCCCCTGCGCCCCCCGCCCCCGGCCCCCCGCCCTGCGCACCTTCACGGCCGAGGCCAGGCGCCGGTCTCGCGCCTCCAGCTGCTGGCGCTCGGCGTGCAGCTCACCACCCCTCTGCAGCAGCTTCTGCTTCTCCTCTTCTTTGACTGGGAGAGAGGGGCGGTGGGGAGGGGCGTGAGCAGCGCCCGGGCTCTGGGGGGTCCCCTAGGCGTGCAGCCGGGGAGGGAGGTGCTGCCCGCCCGGCGGCCCTCACCTGTCTTGTGGGTGACGTAGGAGTGCACGGCGGCCAGCATCCCGCTCCAGGGCACGCCCTCGTCCTTTAAGGCCTGCGGGGACGGGGTCAGCGGACAGGCCGGGGACGGGGTCAGCGGACAAGCCGAGGAGGGGGTCAGCGGACAGGCCAGGGACGGGGTCAGCAGACAGGCGGGGGAGGGGGTCAGCGGACAGGCAGGGGAGAGGGTCAGCGGACAGGCCGGGGACGGGGTCAGCGGACAGGCGGGGGACGGGGTCAGCGGACAGGCGGGGGACGGGGTCAGCGGACAGGCGGGGGATGGGGTCAGCGGACAGGCGGGGGACGGGGTCAGTGGACAGGCCGGGGACGGGGTCAGCGGACAGGCCGGGGACGGGGTCAGCGGACAGGCCGGGGACGGGGTCAGCGGATAGGCAGGGGAGGGGGTCAGCGGACAGGCGGGGGAGAGGGTCAGCGGACAGGCGGGGGACGGGGTCAGCGGACAGGCGGGGGACGGGGTCAGTGGACAGGCCGGGGACGGGGTCGCTGTCAGCAGGGCCTTGGGGTCAGGAGCGCCCGCCCGCCCCCCCAGCCCCCCACCTTCTGCTGGCACTTGGGGCACTTCCACAGCCCCTTGGGCCCAGTCCTGACGGGGGGCTCCAGGCAACTGAGGTGGTAGGACCCCGGGCAGGTGCTGCACGGCTGGAGGTCGGCCCCTCGCTTGCACACAGCACAGTGCTCATCGTGGGCGAGTTCACTCTGGAAGGGGGAGCAGCGGGTGGTCAGCGGCCAGGGAGGGGGTCCGGCAGCTATGCCCCGTCCTCCTGTTTCCTGGCAGCTCTGGGGCCACGGGGCCGGCCGGAGGCTGGGGTGCAGCAGCTGCCCCTGGGCACAGGGTCAGAGGCCCCTGCACCAGGCAGACCCGAGTCCCAGCAGGTCTGGGGACAGCCGGAGACTCACGGAGCCCAGCAGCACCCGAGCCCGGGGAATGGGGGGACGGGGAGGGGCGGGTCATGCAGGTCCTGAGGGTGACCTGGCGGCCAGCCAGAGAGGGTTTGGCAGGAGGCGGGCAGAGCCCGGGAGCCCTGCTGGGCCGTGTCCTCCGGCTGGGCAGGGCTGCCCAGGTCAGGGCTCCCTGTGGGTCAGCCCCCTGCGGGGGCGGAACCTACCTTCCAGCAGGGCTCCTCATTGGCTGGCACAGGGAGGAAGGGCAGAGAGCATTAGTGGGCGCCAAGAGGCCGCGCAGGCAGGACGGGGGGCCCTGTGCCCACGAGGGCTCCAGGACAGGGGGGTCACCCGCCACGCTGGCAATCACCGTCACCTCACATGCCATGCCAAGGTGAGACCCGCAGCACGGCGATCCCCGGTGACTCCCAGACTAACTTGGAACAGCAAAACTCCAGAGAAACCCACCGGCAGAGCTGCAGGAAGACTCCTCCCGAAGTGCTCGGGCGCGTCCCCCGCCGGAGGGCCCGTGGTCTCTCCTGCAGCCCCCTCCCCCATGCCCTCCGGTCACTCAATAAGAACGACCCTTCTGCATTAGACCAACAACCCAGTGCGCTCAGCTGTGCTCTCTGCAGGGTCCTCACTGCCCAGGGTCGTGCTGAGGGGTGTGGGTGGCGGGGGGCTGAGGGCAGGGCTCTGCGGGCAGCCAGGGAGGTGCGGGAGGGGGAGCAGCCGGAGCCTGGTCACCCTTGACCCATCACGCCCCTGCGTCGGAGGCTGGCGTGAGGCCGGGCGCCACTTACCTCTGGCTGTGAGGGACAGCGGGGTGCCAAGGCAGCCGGGCGCCAGCCGCTTCCTCTGCGGGGACAGAAAGCCAGGCAGAGCCGCTGGGCCCCGAGTGTGCTCCGGGCCTGCCCCCTCCGAGACGCCGGGCATGGCTAGGTGTCGCCCACACACACCCCAGCCAGGACGCATGTGCTGGCGACCGCCACAGACCAGAGCTGGCAGCGTCCTGAGGGCGGCAGCCAGGGCCATCACCCAGGGTGGGGGGGCTCCTCCCCGCTGCCCCCCCCATCCCCACCTGCTGAGCTCTGGTTCCAGTCCATAAGGATTCAGAATGCCGGTCAGGGTGACCGTGTCCTAGCGGCAGGAAGAGGGGCATCTTCCTGACCCCTGGAGCTGGGGGGCTGGCGGGTCTGGGGTCAGGGGAGCCCGCTCTCCTCTGATTCGGGGGCTCGGAGGACCCTCCCCTCGGGCCCAGCAACTCTCCCCCAACCCTGCACTGGGCCTGACCCAGGAGACTACGACCTCCCCCCATTCCTGGGCCCGCCCTGCCCCGCACAGTGGCCGCTGCCCCCCCCCCACTCCGGGCCCACCCTGCCCGCCCGGTGCCCGCCCCTCCCGCCGCACCTCTGTCTCCAGGAGGCCGCTGTAGGCCGGGTTGGCTGTGCTTCTCCTCTTACGCTCTTGACGTTTGCTCTGAATCTCTGCAAGGCACGGAGGGAGGGTTTCGGGGTCTTCCTGCCCCGCCCTGCGGCCCCGGCCTGTGTCCAGCGGGCAGCGTCTCCGGGCAGGCAGGCCCCCGGGGCCCCCCTGAGCCTCACCTTCCAGGTGCTCCGTCGTGACCAGGCCTAGCGCCACCATGAAGGCGAGTTTCTGGGGGGGAAAGTGGAAGCGTCACCACCCCACGCCCCCCCAGACCGCATCTGCTGGGGGCTCTGCAGAAGGTTCCGGGCGAGGGAGGGTGACTCTGGAACCTTCTAGAGCTCGCCGGATCAGCCCGGACCGGGGTGGGGGAGGCAGGACTCTCAGAGGGCACATCAATCCCTGCCACCCTGCTCCGTTGCTCGCAGGGTCAAGCTCCGCTGCTCGCGGGGCCCAGACCACTGAGCCACCTCCCCGGCCCCTGGCCCTCTTCTGTTTGACCTGGTTATTCTTTGGGTTTTTTTCAGCTGCACCCAGAGGCGCCCCAGGGACCTCATGTAGCACCGGGGACCTCATGCACACGAGTGTCTTTTTTCCTCTGCAGCATCTCCTCAGAACCCAGCCCACTTTTTGGGGGGCGGGGGCGGGGGCACAACCAGTGATGCTCAGGGGTTACTCCTGGTTCTGCACTCAGGAATCCCTCCTGGCGGTGCTCGGGGACGTTATGGGATGCTGGGAATCGAACCCAGGTCGGCCCCGTGCAAGGCAAGCACCGTCCTTGCTGTTACTATTAAAAGTGGCGGGGGTGCTGGAGAGAGCACAGCGGGGAGGGCGTTTGCCTTGCACGCGGTTGACCCGGGTTCGATTCCCAGCATCCCATAGGGTCCCCCCCCCGCCCCGAGCACCGCCAGGAATAATTCCTGAGTGCAGAGCCAGGAGGAACCCCTGAGCATCACCGGGTGTGACCCAAAAAGCAAAAAAAAGAAAAAAAAAGTGGCCGGGGAGCCCTCCAGCCCACTTCTAAAAGAAACTTTCCTGAGGACTTTTCCACCTGAACTTGAACTCACTGTAATTGAGTCCTATGGAAACCACTACACATATTCACGCTAATTATGCGGAGATATGTAATTACACTAATTGCAGACATGCACAATAATTAACTTCACGAACAAAGCCAATCTGCCCAGAAAACCTTTACAGAATGTGAAGGGCGTGGGCGGAACCCGGCAGGAGGGCAGGGGTGAGTCCGGTCTGGGCTGGGAGGGGTCACAGGGGCAGGGGTGAGTCCGCCTGGGCTGGGAGGGGGCTCCGTGCGTCCAGGGCAGGGGTGGGGCAGGCCCGGGCGTGCAGGGCACCCGCAGCGGGCCTGACCGTCTCTGGCCAAGGCTAGGGCCACGGCTGCTGGAGACCTGGGTTCCAACGCCTGCAGGTGTTTGGGTCAGTGACAGGACAACGGTGGGGTCACCCTCCCGTTCCAGAACATTCTACAGCCCCCGCGCCGTCTGCATGCAGGGGCCCTGGGCCAGGCCCCCCCAGACACCCTGGACCCTGGGTCCAAGAGGCTCCTCCCCCTGCATCGGGGACCCTGAGTGCGTCCTCACTGTCCTCCCACTGCCCAGAGTCCTGGGGTCGCCGCTCCCCACGCTCAGAGAGGAGAGACGACCCCCTCGCACTGCCGGGAACGGGCCTCGCTGGGCCGGGGCCGGGTCTGGGGGCACCCAGCCCACCCCCGCGCTCACCTACCTCGGGGGTCTCCTGGCCCGGGGGCTGCTCATCCGGGGCTCCCTGGGGTGGCTCGTCGGAGGGCGGCCGGGGCTGGGCTGAGCCCTCGGGTTGCGTCTGCACTTGAGGCTGGAGAATGATGACCTGCAGGCGCGAGGGGCAGCTGGGCGGGGCCAGCCGGCGCCCTCCACCCCTCCTGCTGCCTGGCCCGTGGGAGGGCTGAGGGGCGGGGGGCCGTGGGTCCCTCAGTAGCGGGCACGCCCCCCACCTGCCCCTCATTGCCCGCAGAGAACCCCCCCCCACGACAATGGGTCACTGTGTCCTCGGCCCTAAGTCAGGGAAACTGAGGCCAGGAGGACTCAGGCCTGGAGCCCTCAGGTCAGGGATCTGAGGCGGGTGTCCCTCCTGTCCACCCATCTGCCCACACTGCCTGGCCCCTCTGCTTCCCCCCCATTCCCATGGCCACTGGCTCTGAGCCAGGGTCTGGGGCTCCGGGCGCCAGGGAAGGGTCTGAGGTCAGAGCCGGTGACCCCAGGGTCAGGGGCAGATGAGAGGGCCCCCGGCCTCGTGTGTGCTAGACCGCAAGTTCACGGGTGGCCCTGCTGTCCCTTAGACTGACCAAACGGCCCAGTGGCCACAAGAAGCATCAGCAAGTCGGTGGACCAGGGCAGGGGTACGGAGCCCCAGCTGGAAGCACGTGGCTGACCCCTGTCCTGTCCTCAGCCCCTTGGAGGGGTCCGGGACACAGCGGGGAAGGAGCGCTGAGTGGCTCCGAGACAAAAAAGGAAAAATTCAAAATGAGGGCTGGAGCGATAGCACAGTGGTGAAGGCGTTTGCCTTGCACGCGGCCGACCCAAGTTCGATTCCCAGCATCCCATAGGGTCCCCCGAGCACCGCCAGGGGTGATTCCTGAGTGCAGAGCCAGGAGGAACCCCTGAGCATTGCCGAGTGTGACCCAAAAAGCAAAAAAATAAAACAAAATAAAATAAATTGAAATCAGCAAGCTGGGTGCTCCGAGAGCCTGGGTCCCTCCCTCTGGGCACAGGTCCCTCCTGGTCAAGCGGGACAGGCCCACTGTCCAGCGCCGGCCGGCCGTGCTGGCTGGGCCTCCCTCCCTCCTGCAAGACAGGGGGAGAGGGGGGGCTCGCAGCAGGGGAAGAAAACAGGATCCAGCCCTGCCGCCGCCGGCCTGAGAGAAAGCCCTGCGCAGTTCTGTGTGTCAAAACCCCAGAGCGCTAAGCGGAAACGAAATGCCCCGTTTTGTATTCATGGCAGGAAGACACGAATCCAAGGAGAAATAGCGGAGGGGAAAAAAATCCCCTCCCTCGAGCCCCACAGGAGAGGAGAGAGTTCTAGAAGAATCCACGGGCAAGCTTGGTACTCAGGCTCCGTGGCGAGCCTGTGCCACGGCTCCATCCCTGGACAAGACACATTTCCAGGACAACCCGCGGGGGGCTGGGACGCCCTGCTGGACCCCGCCCGTCCCGGGACCCCACTCTGCCATGCTCCACAGCACAAGGGCCTCTAGGCCCTGAGAACCCCGGCCAAGGGGGGGTCTCCCCTCAGTTGGAAGGGGGCGCTTGAGAGCAACACCCAGAAACATGCCATCCCCAATAAGAAGGTCACACGCCACGCAGGGGCTGGTGGTGCCAGCTCCGAGGAGCACTTCCTGGTGAGCACCAGTGGGGGGCAGAGGGGAAGGCCGATACCCCCAATATTGGCAGGGGGAAGGCGGGGAGGGAGGGCGGGGAGCGGGGGGAGCTGATCAGGCCGGAGTGAATGAGCCAGAGCGAGTCTTTCTTCTCCAGCTGGTCAGTGTGCTTTGGACCAGACCCCCACAGCCGTCCTGCAGAGTCGGGGGCTCACTGGGCTGGGGGGTGTCCTCAGGGCAGCCCCGCTAAGGCCCTCTGCCACAGTTCTGGGGCCACACCCGGTGATGCTCAGGGCTGACTCCTGGCTCTGTGCTCACCCGGTATGGGGGTCCGGGGACCGAACCCGGTTTGAGCGGGTGCAAAGCCAGTGACCTGCATGCCCTCCTGCCTCCCTAGCCCGCACTGCCTCGAGCTCATCCTGCACGGACGCATCCACCAGGGCCCACTCGGTGCCCTGGTTCATGCCCACTCGGTGCCCTCGTTCGTGCCCACTCGGTGCCCGCCCCGCCCGGCCCCTCACCTTGCTGTCGGTGCTGATGAGAAGCGGCTGCACTTTGAGGCCGTCTCTGAGCACGGCCACGGCGGAGCCGGGGGCCACGGCGGCGGCGGCGGCATTGCTGGGGGTGCTGGAGATGATGGCGTAGGCCACCCCGGCGCCACTCAGGGGACAGCCGACGGCCGCGGGCTCGGCGAGGGCCTGGGGCTGCCCGGCGGGCGCCGACCCATGGCTCACGGTGTTGTTGGCAGTGGGGAGGGCGGGGCTGGGGTTCTTGATGCTGACCACGGTGCCCTTGGGGAACGCCGGGGGCTGCTTGGGGGGCCGCTCGCGGCCCGGCGCCACGGGGAGGCTGTCCGGGATCAGAGTCTTTGGCCTGACCTGGGGAGGGTCAGAGACACAGGGATCGGCGGGGTGAGCACCAGGGGCACGGTGGGGGGCGTGAGAGGGACCAAGCCAGACCCCCGGGCACCCCAAGACTCGCCCGCCGGAGGGAAGGAGGGAGGGAGAGGCAGGGCCCCTGGGTAGGGAGCGGTTCTGCGGGTTCTTCCTGCGCACACGGGAGTGTCTGCTTCGCCATGTGTGTGCAAACATGGACACACGTGTGCAGAAGCGTGTGCTGCGAGGCGGGGTGTACGTGTGTGTGCATCTGGAGGTGCTGACTCACACACACCCGGAGAGTCTGACCCGAAAGGGGAAGTGGGAGCCCTGGCCTGGGGGTCTGTGTGTGGGGTCTCCCGCCCCCCCCCCCCCCCCACCAGATGATCGATCCTCCGGGCCAGTGTCTCTGTGTCCGGATCAAACAAAAAGGCAAACCCGGGTCAGGATGGATGCACCGCTGAGCACTGCACTGTGGGTCTGACAGGCACAAGGCCCCGAGGTGGGTCCCTGGTGACCCCCAGCCCCGAACCATGCCCGGCTGTCTGGGGGTGGCATCACACAATGCGGCAGGACCTGCTCACTGCCACACCCTGGGCAGCCGCTACCTGGCAGGACGTCCGCTCTGCCCTCACCCCCCTGGGTGCCCGGGGGCTGGGGACAGACTGACGGCGCACGGCTCACCTGAGGTAGCACTGCCGCTCCGTGCCCGGCCAACCGCTGCAGGGAGCTGACGGGGAGGCCCACGCCGGGCACGGCCGAGACGGTTCCCAGAGCCTGGGGGAGAGAGCGGGTGAGGGCGGGAGCTCCTGCTGCCACTTTGTGCCATCTCTCTCGCGCGCGGAACCCAGAGCCTCCTCCGGCCCGACCCCTGACCCCCGCTTTCCAGTCCCGCTGGTGCTGGTGCACTTTGGAATCGCAAAAGTCACAGACGCTCACGCCAGACATGCTGGAAACTCAAGAGGAAGAGCGGCAGGAAGGCGACGGCCTGTTGCCCACCCACATTCCTAACGCTTTATTTGAATTGCTTTGTCCAGAGCCCAATCAGCGGGACCCAGGGCTTCCTCCTGCCTCTGAACTCGGGACCAGCCCTGGTGGGGCTCAGGGGGCTGGACGGGGTGCCAGGACGAAAGGGAGCACCCCACCCGCTGTCCTGTCCTTTCTCAGTCGTTTTCCGACTGTGCACGTAGGCGGGACTTCGGCTCACGCCAGAGTTTCAACTTCCCACGAACTCACGGGTCAGTCACCAGACTCCCGGGCTCTGGAGCTAAGCAGAAAAGCTTCACGTGAAGAAGCTTAGAGACGAGAATGGGAGGAGTCGGCCACGGCAGCCAGAATCTCACACACCGGGAGTCTGGGCTATGCAGGAGCAGCAAACAAAGCGGGCGGAGAGGGATGTAAGCCCCCGGTTGGGAAGGTCCAGAGAACGGTGGTGGAGATGGCTCAGAGCAGAGAATGGATGGAAACTCCCGGAACTCAACGGCCAGGACGCAAAATGCTGATTTCCAACAGGCGAGCACTGAGTTATGAGCAACACGCCGAGTCTCATACCAACGCACCAGGCTCGCCTGTCTGCATCACCGCGATCCTGTCCAGACCACGAAAACCCTGAGCAGACCACGAAATACAGTCCAGACATGGAACACCAATCTAGACCACAAAATACCTATCCGGACCACGAAACACCTGACCTGACCACAAAACACCTGTCCAGACCACGAAACTCCTGAGTAGACCATGAAATACCTGTCCAGACCATGAAACTCCTGAACCAACCACAAAACATCTGTCCAGACCACGGAACACCTGTCCAGACCACAAAACACCTGAGCCGACCACGAAATACCTATCCAGACCACGAAACACCTGAGTAGACCACGAAATACAGTCCAGACCACCTGAAGCTGACCACGAAACACCCCCAGGGGTCAGAGGGAGGAGCCGTCCGAGCTGGGGGTGTGAAGGAGAGAGCTGAGGGTCTGGGGGGGGTCGAGCTGTCGGTGTGGGCGTCACATGTCACACGCACCCATTCCCTTTTGGGCTTCTCTGCGCCTGGGCTGCTGGGCCTCACAGTCGCTCCACCCATGGGCTGCACCTTCCTTTCTAGGGGACTCTGAGTTCTTCCTGGCACTGGGGCAGTGGCACCTCCAACACCTCCAGCCGGGCGCAGGGTGGCAGCTGATGTGGGGTGGCACTGCCGGGCCTGAGTCCCACGGGGCGGGGGGGCACCCCAGTAGGCGTGGACCAGAGAAACTACAGGGCCAGAGAGATGCACCGTGGCTAACACATGTGTGTGCCCGCGGCTGACACAGTTCCACCCCCAGCGCCCTGGAGTCCCTGAGCCCGGCCAGGAGAGACCCTCTGAGTGCAGAACCAGGTAACCTGAGCCCCGCCACGTGTGACCCTCCCCCATGCCAAGAGAACAGCAAAGCAACAGCACCCACCCAGAAAGCAGGTGACCACAGGGCCCGTGCATGGGACGCCAACCCCTGGCTGACCGCTCATCAGAAGGCCCTCACGTGGGCCAGGCCTGCTCAGAGACCACCAGAACATGGGGCCATCGCTGGGCAGCACCCCAAGTCCTGGGGCTCAGAGCGGGGAATGGGGTCCCTCCCCGACTGCTTCGGGGGGCCGCGGCTCCTCCACCGCGCCCCCCCTTGCGTCCTGAGTGGACGCTCTCGTCCATACAGACCTTTAATTCTCAAGCTCGGAGACAGTTCCCGGCGAGGGGGGACCTTTCTGCTCGGGGGGTTAACAGCGGCAGAGACGGCCTCTGAGCCCGTCACTAGGGCCACGCTAATGTCAGGAGATGACCAGGCGGTGGACAGACAGCAAGAAGCACTTGGGCAGGGGGGAAAGGGCGTGCAGGTCAAAGGCAGTTTCCCACGCAGAGCCCCCGGGAACGAAGGAGGGGGTCGGGCACAGCCAGGGTGGGGGGCAGGGGGGCGCACAGCCGCTGCCCCAGACTGACCGAGGAGACCCCAGACACCAACAGCGACTCGGCGCTTCCAAGCCCATCAGCAGCCCCCGGTGTGAAAAAGTGACTGAATTCACGCGTGAGGGGGGCTAGAGTGATAGCACAGTGGGTAGGGAGTTTGCCTCGCATGCAGCTGACCCGGGTTCGATTCCCAGCATCCCATAGGGTCCCCCAAGCACCGTCAGGAGTCATTCCTGAGGGCAGAGCCAGGAGGAACCCCTATGCATCACCAGGTGTGACAAAATAAATAAATAAATAAAAACAGAGCACCCTAGGATGCGTCTTACAGAGCACCCATCCCGGCCTGCCCCGGCCCCCACTTCCTCGCTCCTCAGCCAAGGTGGGAAGAACCAGCCCCCGCCTCTGACACCCACCACACGCCTCCCCCAGGAGAAGAGAAACACTAGCAGGGAAACTGCCGCCAAGTTCATCAGTCTCCGAGCCGGGGACGCCCACGGCCACCCTGTCCACGTGCCAGGATGGACGCAGGGTCCATGAGGCCCGTGGTGGCCAGGAAGACTCAGCCCTGCAGGGCAAGGGGACGGTGACGCCGTTGAAGACCGGCCGCCACAGCCTCGCCAGGGGTGATCCCCCGACCACAGAGCCAGGAAGAAGCCCTGCTCCTATCCCTGGACAGAACTCGAACCCGGGTCTCTTCCCTAGAGCAGGATCCTGACCCGGGTCTCTAAGTGGGAGCCGCCCCCGGTGGCCCCCCAAGGGACAGGCGGGCGCTGTCCAGGGTGCTGAGCCAAGTACCGGAAGCCGTGTTCCCCTGCGGGCCAGGAGGGGGCGCTGCACAGTTCTGCTTTGCTCTCAGACCTGATCCCGTTAACACCCAAACTTTATTATTTTTTTTTCCATGTAGGAGTACTGCTTTATTCAGCCACTGATTAGCTGACTGAATTGGGCATGAACTCCACCTTACTTTTTTTTTTTCATTTTTTATAATTTTATTTATGGAATCACCCTGAGAGCAGTTACAAAGGTTTCGGGTTTAAGTCTCGGTCATACAATGAAACACCCGTACCTTCACCAGTGCCCATTCTCCAACTCCCAAAGCCCCAGTATACCCTCATCCCACACCCTCCCCCTACCTGTGGGGCAGATGATTTCCACATTACTCTCTCTCTACTTTGATCACATTCAATATTTCGACACCAGACCCACCATTATTATTTGAGATTTTACCCCAACACTCAGATCTGCTGAAAAGGCAACAGTAGACAATTTGTGTTCTATTGCTGGTTATGAATAACATATGATGTTGCGTGGCTGCAGTAGTGGCCGCGCAATTTTGAAATTCCGAAATTTTAACTAAATCTGGAGGGATTTCTGCCAAAACCTGCTGAATTCCCAAACTTTAGGGGGAAAAGGGCAGAGAAGACCTGAGTGCCCGGGCACTGCCCTCTCCGTGGCTCCGGGGGACCAGGCCCCGTCTCTGAAGACTCCAGCACCGCGGCCTCGGGGCCACAGACAGCACACAGCCCACCAGGGTCCCCCCTCCAGGCCCTCGGGTGCCTCCCCCAGCACCGCCAGGTGTGGCCCAAACCCTGAGACAGAACGACAATCGCTGTTTAACTGGGCTTTTGGTTTGGGGGCCACAGGCAGCGCTCAGGGTTCCTCCTAGTTTGTCTGTCGGGCAGGGGGTCGATCCTGGCAGAGCTCAGGTGGGGAACCAGATCAGGGGGTCCCGGTGAACTCCTGTGTCAGACCGCCATGGAGAAACACTCGCTGGTTGCCTCGGCCTTGGTAGGGTCCTCAGCACCACAGAGACCCCAGCCCCACACCACCAGGCATGAGCACTGTTTAGTCGGGTCTGAGCAGCTAGGGCACAGCTCAGAGACCCCTCCCCAAATATGTAAGATGCCATCAGAAACCCAGTGTCTCCTCTGGAGGGGGTGAGGCCGGCAGCACCGGCCCCCACCAAGGTGCCCCAGGCCCGGGCAGGAGCGCCCACAGGGAACGTCCAGCTGGGTCGGACCGTCCAAGGGGGCACAAAGGACTTACTGTGCTGCCCCCAGTGTCCAGCAGGCTGGAGATCCGGGTCCCCCCCAGGCCAGGCCCCAGACCCCCAAACCACCACAAATTCCAAACATCCAGGCTGGACCGAAGCCCAGGGACCCAGCAAGGGGCCAATGAGCACAGAGCCAGGAGTATCTCCCGGAGGACCCCCGACATCCCCTCCTGGACGCAACTTGGGGTGGGGAAACCGCATCCACCCCCCCCCACACACACACACACACCCTCCCCGCCATCAGCACTGCTAATTGCCACTAAGTGTAATACCATTTGTCTTTCGGCTAATACATTTCGACTTGCTAATCAAATCCTGCCACTTTGCCATGTGGCTTTCTCTGCAGTCTGTTTTACTTTTTTTTTCTTTTTGGGTCACACCCGGCGATGCTCAGGGGTTCCTCCTGGCTCTGCACTCAGGAATTACTCCGGGCCATACTCAGGGGACCATGTGGGATGCCGGGAATTGAACCTGGGTTGGCCGTGTACAAAGCAAACGCCCTCCCCACTGTGCTATGGCTCCAGCCCCTCTGCCGAGCGGGTGAGAAACCACAGTTGAGCCTGGTCCTTGCCCCGTGTTCTTGCCCTGGAGACGGGGTGCAGAGGTGTTTGGGGCATCTGAGGCGCCAGTCTCCGCCAGTCAGACTGTAAGTAGGGGTGACAGAGGGGAGGGAGCAGAGGGGGGACAGGGGAGGGGGGAGGAACAGGCAGGAACAGGGACGGGGCGAGCAGGGCTTGTCAGCACTTTGGGTGTTTTATTGTTTTTGTTTTGTTTTCCTTTCTTTTC